CTTTAAGATTCAGCTGAACGAGGGCTGGGCTGGCTTGTCTAGGCCAGGTTTTTGCCTGCAAGGTTGGACCAGCTGATCCTTGAGGCCCCTTCCAACCTGCCACTCTATGACTCTGTGATTAACGGTTGGACTCAATGATCTTAAGGGTCTTTTCCAACCTAAATGATTCTGTGATTCTATTTTTTTTAAAGAAATTAATCCAGATTGACTTCCCCTGCTGTTTCCAGGCAGAAGAGCTGTGTATTGGCTACGGCACACACAGCTCCCCCTCCCCATTGCAGCTCCCTGAACCGCTCCCATCACTTCCAGAAAGGCCGACGCAGAGATGTCGCAGACACAAAGTGCACCTGAGAGATCTCGGGGCCGGACCATGCTCTGGGGGAAGGCACCTGCCAGCCACCCTTGGGCAGTGAGCCCCCTTGCAGAGAGACTGACCTGGATGAGGTCCAGGATGCCCAGCTCGCTCTCGGAGGAGTCCACACAGAAGACGAAGTACAGTGTGGCGTAGTGGCGGTAGATCAGCTTGTAGTCAGAGCCGCCAAACAGGCTGTGGAGACACGAGGGGAGGTGACACTCTGAGGACACACACACACACATGCAGCCCAGGCGCTGCCCCAGCCGAGGGGACAGCCCGGCACAGCCCCCTGCACCCCACTGGAGGGCTGGGGGTTACCTGCCGCACTCCAGGAAGTTGCAAATGTGGTCATCGCGCTTCAGCACCAGGTGGAAAGTCTCACGGATAATCTGCTGCTGGACCTCCTCTGCCTGCAAGGAGGCGAGGGCAAGCACCCGTGGGTGCACGGCCCGGAGGACCCACGTCCCCTGCTGCCCCCCGAGGGACACCCTCAGCTCGCAGCTCGGCGTGATGGGCAGGTTGCAGCTCCCCACCAGCCCTCAGCACCACAGGGGCAACCCTGCGTGACCCGGTGTGGTGGCCACGGGCCATTCCACCTGTGGAATGGCCCGTGGCCACCACACCGGGTCACGCAGGGTTGCCCCTGTGGTGCTGAGGGCTGGTGGGGAGCTGCAACCTGCCCATCACGCCGAGCTGCGAGCTGAGGGTGTCCCTCGGGGGGCAGCAGGGGACGTGGGTCCTCCGGGCCGTGCACCCACGGGTGCTTGCCCTCGCCTCCTTGCAGGCAGAGGAGGTCCAGCAGCAGATTATCCGTGAGACTTTCCACCTGGTGCTGAAGCGCGATGACCACATTTGCAACTTCCTGGAGTGCGGCAGGTAACCCCCAGCCCTCCAGTGGGGTGCAGGGGGCTGTGCCGGGCTGTCCCCTCGGCTGGGGCAGCGCCTGGGCTGCATGTGTGTGTGTGTGTCCTCAGAGTGTCACCTCCCCTCGTGTCTCCACAGCCTGTTTGGCGGCTCTGACTACAAGCTGATCTACCGCCACTACGCCACACTGTACTTCGTCTTCTGTGTGGACTCCTCCGAGAGCGAGCTGGGCATCCTGGACCTCATCCAGGTCAGTCTCTCTGCAAGGGGGCTCACTGCCCAAGGGTGGCTGGCAGGTGCCTTCCCCCAGAGCATGGTCCGGCCCCGAGATCTCTCAGGTGCACTTTGTGTCTGCGACATCTCTGCGTCGGCCTTTCTGGAAGTGATGGGAGCGGTTCAGGGAGCTGCAATGGGGAGGGGGAGCTGTGTGTGCCGTAGCCAATACACAGCTCTTCTGCCTGGAAACAGCAGGGGAAGTCAATCTGGATTAATTTCTTTAAAAAAAATAGAATCACAGAATCATTTAGGTTGGAAAAGACCCTTAAGATCATTGAGTCCAACCGTTAATCACAGAGTCATAGAGTGGCAGGTTGGAAGGGGCCTCAAGGATCAGCTGGTCCAACCTTGCAGGCAAAAACCTGGCCTAGACAAGCCAGCCCAGCCCTCGTTCAGCTGAATCTTAAAGTGTCCGATGTTGGGGAACCCATCGCTTCCTCAGGGAAATTATTACAGGGGCTGATTATTTTCAGTATGAAACATTTTCCTCTTGTGTCCAGTCAGAATCTCCCCAGCAGTAACTTGTCCCTGTTCCTCCTTATTTTTTCCATGTGACTCCTTGTAAAGGGGAGTCTTCATCTGCTTCGTAGCCACCCTTCAACTACTGGAACGTGGAGAAGAGGTCTCCCCTCATTCCTTCAGGATGATGTTTTCCCAGGTGCAAGACCTTGAGTTTGTCCATACTGAGCTTCAGCAGGTTCTTTTTGGTCCCCTCTGGCTGGCTCTCTGCAGGGTGGTTCTCCCTCCCCAAGTGTCCCCTTCCCACTCAGTTTGGTATCACCAGCAAACAAAAAAAGTGTTAACACTGCCAGCTCCACCACTAACCCATGTCCCTGAGCGCTGCATCCACAGGTCTTTTAGATACCTCCCAGGATGGTGACTCCACTCCTTCCCTGGGCAGCTCATTCCAGTGCTTGACAACCCTTTTGGTGAAGAAATTTCTCCTAATATCCCGTCTGAACCTCCCCGGGCACAACTTGGGGCCGTTTCCTCTTGTCCTGTCACTTGTTACTGGGGAAAAGAGACCAACCCCACCTCGCTCCATTCAGGTAGTTGTAGAGGGCAATGATGTCTCCCCTCAGCCTCCTTTTCTCCAGGCTAAACCCTCCCAGTTCCCTCAGGTGCCCCTCACAGGACTTGTGCTCCAGACCCTGCGTCAGCCTCCTTGTTCTCTGGATGCACTCCAGCCCCTCAATGTCTGTCTTATAGCAGGGCCTCAAAACTACTAGTGCATTTTAATAAGTGTGTTCAAACACTGTGTGGGTGTGTGAAGGGACCTTTGCTGAGTCTGGCTGACAGCAGACACGTGCGTGTGGGGAGGTGGCAGAGCTGCCGGCCCTGCTCACCTCACCTGCCCTGTGATTGTGCAGTTCCCCTGACTTGGCCCCTTTTGGGCTGTTCTGTGGGTCTGCGGCCCCCTTGTCTCAGCACTGCTGCGGAGCAGGACATCAAACCCGGGGTGTTTCCCCTGGAACAGCTGGGTCCTGTGTTTTGCTGCCCTTGACCTTATGCCGGGCCCCTTGGGAGGGTTCTGGGTGTGCGGGCAGCATTTTGCAGGGGTCCTGTGTGCTGAGCTCCCCTCCCTGCCCCCTCAGGTTTTTGTGGAGACGCTGGACAAGTGCTTTGAGAACGTCTGTGAGCTGGACCTCATCTTCCACATGGACAAGGTGGGTCGTAGGCTCTAGGTGCTCCTCCAGGCCAGCACTGTTGTTCCCCCCATAGCCCTGCACTCCCACAGGCAGGAGCCAGCCCAGCCTCCAGCTCTGGAGTCTCCCAGGAGAGGCCATTAGTACGTTAACCCTCACATTTTGGGGAGAGGTTGAAATCCTGGGTGGGGAAGTTGTCAGCTTGGGGTCTTTGTAAGCTACTCGCATCGTGTCCTCCCAACAGGAGATGGGAGTCGCTGAGCTCTGTTCCGTGTCCTCCATGGGCGAGCTGGCTTTTGGCTCCCCAACTCGCCCCATGGTGTGGCTGCTGCAGGGCTGCGTGTGGTGGGGGGTGTGGGCTCTCTCCTGGTGTCTCCCACAACGCAGGGTAACTGCAGGGCCAGGTGCGGGGGATCTGTGTGGAGGCTTCACTCTTGGTCTTCGCACGGGCTGGTGCCAATGGAGCTGGGTGGGCTCTGGCGTTGCGCAGGGGCGTTCTGCCTCTTTTCACTGCACTGAGGGACCTGTCTGAGGTCTTGTTAACATTTTACTAGAGCTGCAGGGAAAGAAAGGTAAGGAACAATGGGAGTGTTTGGAATACAAACTGTTTGGTAAACTTTGATTTGAGCCACAGTCTTTAACAATTCTTCTTTAGCTGGACTGAGTTTCTGGGCGGAAACCTATCCTCTTTGATGGTCTCATAGATGGGGCTGAAGATAGCTGGGATTATGTTTAGAGAAAGGAGAATTTAGCTGACGTGTGCTAGACTTTGGTTGCTGTTGATAAGGGTTTTGTTCCTTTGTTGAAGACAAAACATGCCAACAAAAAAGAGGAGTGGGAAAAAAAACAAGGCTGTAAAATGTTCCATTTTTGTCAGTGATTCCAACTTAGGAAGTCTGGCAGAGAACTAGAGTTAGAAAATCTTCTTAGAAGGTGATCTGGATTAGCTGAATGTACTAGCAACTGGTGAAGTAAGACTTTGATTTCATAATTTGCCCAGCTGTAAACTTTCAGAAATGTTATAACGTTGATTAACCTGTCAGAAAAAACGTTCTTATCAAATCAAGCCAAAGGAGAGGAAGGAAGATGTCAGGAAGGAGGAGGAGTTGGGGCGGCAGCCACCCAGATCACCTCTGGCCCTGTCTGCGGGAAGACACGCTCTCAGTTACCCCTTCTGTGACGCCACTGAGAGCCGGCACCTTTGCTCTCCATCCGCAGCCCACAGGCAGGAATTACCCTGTTGTTTTCTGTTTTGCCAGTGGTAGCATGGCTTGCCCTTCCTCTGAACTCTCCTGCTAGGCAGAAGGTTCAGGGCAGGCAGGAGTTGGAGAGTTTCTGACTGGGGAGACCTGGGCTTGACCACCCCCAGCCTCTCCTACCAGTCAGGCTTGTTTAGTGCTGGTCCCATGCTCCCACTGCTTCCCAGTCTTGATTTCAGGCCTTGGCTGCTGTCAGTGGGTGCTCTTGTCTTTATATTTGGCACGTATTTATCTCTCAGACCTGTTGATGTTGAGTGCCCGTGCTGCTTCCGAGGGCTTGGTGGCACTGGGGGAGCTGAGAGTGCGCAGCTGTGTCCCGCTGTTCCCCGCTCTGGCCCCTCGGGTGCCGGGGCAGGGCTTTCCGCGGCCGTGGGGCTGCACCAAGCCCTGTCTCCGCGAGGGCGGTTTGCCAAGGGCAGGGCAGGGCAGGTGGATTTCAGGGTTTGTGCGAAGCGAGGTGGGATGGTGGTAGTGGTTTGGCCAGCAGAGATTTCAGCTTTGAATGTCCCCAGTCCAGCAGGTTCTGGCTGAGCTTTGGGCGTGGCTTTGTCCAGGTCCTGCGATTTTTCTCTTGCTGCCTTTAACACCCACCTCACGCTCTGTGTGCAGTGTGGGGTCCGTGGAATGAGGGTTTTGGGTCCCTGCTCTTGCAGGATGGGTCCAGCAGGACCGTGGTTCCTGGGCGCTGGTGACACCAGTGCTTTTAGACTGTCGGCTTCAGCAGCCTCAAAGCTGCAGGGACCCCTTTTTCACAAGGGGAGGCTGGAGCCATGAAGCCGTGGGGTGGTTCAGAGGAGGCTCTTGCCCAACCCCTGCATGTTCTTTGTACCTTGGAGGAAAACATGAATTTTGCTCAGCAGCTGCAAGGTCCCAGAGAGGACGTGTTTGTTCAGAAAGTGCTGTATTTCAGTTTGGAAAACAAAGATTGCTTGGGATTTCTGCCCTGTTGGTTTTGGTCCAACTTGGGCCAAAGCCAGATCTCAAAGGAACAACATTTCCTGCAGCCCAGATGCTCTCCCGGTGTGGGGAGCTGCCGGCACCATCCGGTGCAGCGTTTGCTGGGGCTGGGCTAGGGCTGTGCTGTGGTTACGGCGGTTCCAGTGCCACAGGTGTCCCGGGAAGGCGCTGTATGGCCCATGGCTCGCCCTGTGCAGTGCTGACCCCCCAGTTCTGCTCCTGGTGCTGTCAGAGCAGGATGGGTCCGACAGGGAGCCCTGGGGAGGGCTCACCCTTCACATGGAGCTGGGTTTCCTGCTTCGAGTATGTTCTCTCGCTTGCTTTATTTCTCACAGCATTGCCCTGGCAGTATTTGCCACACATTTTTTACAAGTGCAACCTGCCCTCATGAAGCCATAAAACGATAGAATGACTTAACCATCCTCCAGTAATAGCCTATTTCACGGAAGGAACCAGAGACCCATAAACTCATTATCTGTGCTGGGTGGTTGCTGGGAGCTGCTGACTTAGCAAGGGAGGCTGAACTCTGTAGGATGGTGGAGCCTGGGGTGCGTCTTTTCTCATATTGCAGACTCCGATGGGCCCTTTCTCTTGCTTTGGATGTGGGGTGTTACTGGCCCTCCCTGGCAGGGGCTGGTAGGAGGGAGCAGCATGGTGCCTTGAGCTGGCTCCAGTTTGTCCTTGGCCCTGCGCAGGCTCTGGGGAAGGGACCAGCCTCTCTCAGCAGTTTTGTATTTCTTGGGGGCATGTGTCACAGTCCCATCTCTCCTAAGAGAAAGCAAAGTGGTCGGGCTCAGGCCTGGCTTTCTGGGTAGAAAAAACTGGTCCTGGGAAGTGCAGGCTCTGGGAGGCCCTGGGGTATGTGCTGCCCCCTGGGCTCCCCCCCTGCTTTCTATTCGGGGAGCTGGTCCCAGCCAAGGGAGGGATCAGACTTCAGATGAGGTGTCAGAGATGGCGCAGCCAGCGGGTGCTGGTGGACCAGGTAGGACCTGGCCTCTCCAGGGGCTGACCTGGGCCCAGTGGGTGATGTTTGCTCTGGTCCCTGGGGTGGGGTGTGTCCTCTACAGCTGGGACTGGGGCTGCCAGACTCCCCCTGCGCTGAAGACTGTGGCCGCCCTCTTGCTCTGCAGGCAGCCACTGGGGCTGTGCAGGCTGAGGGAGGATGGGGCTGGGTTTGTGTCTCTTGGGGAAATGTCACTGACCCCTGGCGTGCTCCCACCCCAGCCTGCGGCTGCTGCGGCTGCTGCTGCTCCTGGCTGGTCTGAGAGCTGGGCTGGGTTCAGAGCCACGCCATCCCATCCCTCTCCTCCCCTCGCAGGTTCACCACATCTTGCAGGAGGTGGTGATAGGTGGCATGGTGCTGGAGACAAACATGAACGAGATCGTGGCGCAGGTGGAGGCCCAGAGCAAGCTGGAGAAGGCGGAGGTGAGTGGCAACGCTGCAGCTCTGCCTCCAGGGGAGGCTGATGTGCTTCTCCGACACTTATGGGGTATCCCCAGTACCCCCAGTCTCTGCCTGCCTGAGTCTGTGGGGAGTGGGCTGGGGGCATCCCTCCCTTGCTGTGCTCCAGGCCGTTGAAAGCAGGGAGCAACCCGAGCATGGAAATGGCTGTTCCCCTCAAGGTTAATAACTGGTTAGTGCCCTGTTTGTGCTGTCACTGTGAAGATGCAGCTCTGCTCTGGTCACAGGGAAGTGCCGCACTGCTGCTCCCATGATATCAATAGAAACAGGTCCATCAGCAGGGAGGGAGGGGGACGTGGCAGGGCCCGGGGGCTTGGGGAAGCAGGGCAGCACAGCAGGGCTGTGTTTGGGGAGCGGGGGATTGCGGGGCCGGCGGTGACCATTCCCTCCCGTTGGCAGGGCGGACTCTCGGCCGCTCCTTCCCGTGCAGTCTCGGCTGTGAAGAACATCAACCTGCCTGAGATCCCTCGCAACATCAACATCGGTGATATCAACATCAAAGTGCCCAACCTGTCGCAGTTCATGTGAGCGTCCTGCGACAGGGGTGGGGGCTCTGGCTCAGGGAGGAAGGCTGGGCTCTGCTGGACTCCCCCAGTCCCGTTTGGGCTCACAGTGGGTCTGGCGTGCTGCAGGGAGTGGTGACGGTGCTTCTGTCTGTCACCTTGCACCCACGCTCGCTGGTGTCCCCACAGCAAGGGTGGCCTTTCTTCCCTCCCTCTCCCCTCCCCATGGATGTGCAGCCTCTTCCCTCGCTGTTGGAGGGGGAGCGAAAGAGCCGGGTCCTGCCTCTCCCAGCACTTCTTGGGATTCCCAGTTGTGAAAATGCAGCCGTAGCTGGTGGCTTCTGCACTAGCCCTGGGCTGTCGTTTTGACCCCGCGTTGGGCAGCCCCCCGCGCCCTCTCCAGCCCTGCCCGCTGCGCTTGCCGTTGCTGTGAGCTCCAGAGCTGGGCCAGCGTGGGTGGTACCTGCTGGCCCTGGGGAGTGGGCAGGGAGCGGGCAGGGAGCTGCCTGGGCTGGCTGAGTTGGGGCCGGTGGGGCTGGAGCGTGTTCCCATGTCCTAATAAACCACCGTCTGAACCCGTGGCTGAGTCTGCTACTGCCCTGTTCCTGGGGGGGAGCACAGGGAGGGGTTGGGGGCCTCTGTGCAGCTCTGGTGGGGTGGCTGCAGCCCCTGGGGGGCTATTGGCTGGCAGAGGCTGCTGCGGGGGAGTGGGAAATAGGGTCCCTGAGCCCACCTGGGGCTGGGGCTGCTGCAGCAGGGGCTCTGGGAAGGGTCCCTGGGTGCAGCGGGGAGTGCAGTGGCCCCCCCCGGGGCTGTGACAGCAGTGTCCCCTGCTCTGGGTCCCCAGCCTGCAACCTGTCGCTGCCCTCCCGCTGTTCCCTGCCGCAGAGTGACCCTGCTCTGCTCTTGGGCTCAAGGGGCACATGGAGGTGTCCCCCCGAGGCCTGGGGGTCTCAGAGAATGTGGCTGGAGGGGACAGGCCAGGCAGGGAGGTCCCCAAGCAGCCGGGCTCCTTGGGCCGAGTGCCCCTGGCTCTGCCACAGCTCCTTCTGGCCACCAGCCTCCGGGCTGCCTCGGAGCCCCTTCCTCGGCTTTCCTTCGGCTCTGCCTTCACTTCCCCTGGCAGGGAAACCGTGACTCTGCCTGGAAGGAATTTTCCTGCTGTCTCCCCTCCCTGCTGCTTAACCCTTCCCCAGCTGGCCATGAGCCACTGCCAGCAGCTCGTGGAGGTCAAGGAGCTGGGCAACCAGTTCCTTCCTCTTCTCCGCCAGCCATCCTCTTCCTCCTCCTCCTCTCCCTCCTGTCGGCTGCTGGAGCAGCGGGGTGGAGGGAGCAGGTGAGCAGTGTCCTGGGGTGGGGACATGGGGTGTGTCAGGCCCTAGGACGATTGGAGGGGAAAACTGGGGGTGCTGGGGGGTTCGGGCTGGGGTGACAGCCTGGGCTGTGCCTGCACCCAGCCTCACTCATGGCAGTCCCTGGTGCAGGACGCGTCCAGCCTCATGTGCTTCCTCTGTGGCCAGGCGATGTTTGTGCGCAGCCGCCTCCGGTAATGGCTCTGGCCCCGCTGCCCCTTCCCATGTCCCAGGGCGCTGGGGCAGGGCCAGGGCCTTGCCTGCTCCCTGCTGCTGCCTTCCCCCCTGCCCCTGAGGAGGGGGCAGAGACGATGGGGTGGTTCACCCTGGGGTGAGGCAGGACAAGGGGGTCTGGAAGAGGGCGCAGAGGTGATTCAGGGGGCTGGAGCACCTCCCCTGTGAGGACAGGCTGAGAGTTGGAGGGGTTCAGCTGGAGAAGGGAAGGTTCCCGGGAGAACTTAGAGTGGCCTCCCAGGACTCAAAGGGGGGAGGGGCTCTTGATCAGGGGGTGTAGGGATAGGACAAGGGGTGATGGTTTTAAACTGAAAGAGGGGAGATTTTGATGAGTTCTAAGGAAGAAATTCTTCCCTGTGAGGGGGGTGAGGCCCTGGCAGAGGTTGCCCAGAGGAGCTGTGGCTGCCCCCTCCCTGGCAGGGTTCAAGGCCAGGTTGGACGGGGCTTTGGGCAACCTGGGCTAGTGGAAGGTGGCCCTGCCCGGGGCAGGGGGGTGGGAATGGATGGGCTTTAAGGTCCCTTCTGACCCAAACCATTCTGTGAGTCTGTGAAGTCCCTGGGCCCCATTTCCCCACCCCAGGGCACTGCCTGGGGCACCCCGTGCTTGCAATGACCCTGGGTGCCCCAAGGGCCTGTGGCTAGGCCCCCAGACACCCCCTGCACCCTGAGGTGGGCCTGGGGGGATGTGGCATGAGGGTAGGGGCTGCTGGGGGCTCAGTGCTCTCCTGTCCAAGCTGCCTACGTGGTCCAGGGATGGGCCATGGGGCTGGCTCATGTGGCTGGCTACCAGCCCTGTCACATGCTCCGGGCCCTGGCTGAGCTGTGCTTTGGGTTTTGCTGAGCTCAGTTTGCTTGCCAGACCGTGTCCCCCAACTCCAGGATCCCCCTCCCTGGCAGTGACGTGCAGGGGAGTGGATAGTGGAACCTGGCAGGGGCCCTGCCAAGCACTGGGTGAGCCCCAGCCCCCTCCCTGTGCTACCCCCCAGCTGTACCGGGTCACCCCTGGATCGGTGAGACCCGGGAGCAGACGCCTCAGGGTGCTGCACCCGGCAAACCCCCCTGTGCCCCGGCCGCAGCCCGCGGGGGGCCCGTGAGGACTGGGCTATCTCTGACCCACCGCTGCCAGGGCGCCGGGGGCTGGGCTGAGGTGTGCTGAGCAGGGGGCACCCCCCAAGCAGTCACCCCATTCCCGGTGTGCGGGGGTGCTCCAGGTGCTGCAGGGAGGGGGCACAGCCCGGCTTGGGTGCTGCCACCCCCTTGCGATGAGCCAAGGCTGGTTCGAGGGAGGGGACCCCCAGCAGCACCCGGGGGGGGTGTCCCG